TAGCACCAAAACATCACAATGTATTGAAACAGCTGTGAATCTGACCGTCCAAGTTACGGTACTCATTGAGCACTTTATGTGTGGTTACATGCACCAATAATTAGAAAATGGAAGGGATACAAGACGACTGATAATCTCCCTCAATCTGGGGCTCCACACAAGATCTCACCCCGTGGGGTCAAAATGATCACAAGAACGGTGAGCAAAAATCCCAGAACTGCACGGGGGGGGGGGGGGGGGGGGGGGCTAGTGAATGACCTGGAGAGAGCTGGGACCAGTGTAACAAAGGCTACCATCAGTAACACTCTATGCCGCCAGGGACTCAGATCCTGCAGTGCCAGACGTGTCCCCTTGCTTAAGCCAGTACATGTCAGGAGCCAACTGAAGTTTGCTAGAGAGCATTTGGATGATCCAGAAGAGTATTGGGAGAATGTCATATGGTCAGATGAAACCAAAGTAGAACTGTTTGGCAGAAACACAACTCGTCATGTTTGGAGGAGAAAGAATGCTGAGTTGCACCCAAAGAACACCATACCTACTGTGAAGCATGGGGTGGCAACATCATGCTTTGGGGCTGCTTCTCTGCAAAGTGACCAGGGCAACTGATCCATATACATGAAAGAATGAATGGGGCCATGAATCATGAGATTTTGAGTACAAACCTCCTTCCATCAGCAAGGGCACTGAAGATGAAACGTGGCTGGGTCTTTCAGCATGACAATGATCCCAAGTACACCGCCAGGGCAATGAAGGAGTGGCTTCGCGAGAATCATTTCAAGGTGCTGGAGTGGCCTAGCCAGTCTCCAGATCTCAACCCTATAGAAAACCTTTGGAGGGAGTTGAAATCCGGGTTGCCCAGCAACAGCCCCATAACATCACTGCTCTTGAGGAGATCTGCATGGAGGAATGGGTCAACATACCAGCAACAGTATGTGCCAACCTTGTGAGAGCCTACAGAAAACGTTTGACCTCTGTCATTGCCAATAAAAGATATATAACAAAGTATTGAGATGAACTTTTGTTATGTACCAAATACTTATTTTACACCATAAATTTGTTAAAAATCAGACAATGTGATTTTCTGGATGTGTTTCCTCATGTTATCTCTCATAGTTGAGGTCTAGCTATGATGTCGATTACAGGCCTCTCTCATCTTTTTAAGTGGGAGAACTTGTACAATTGGTTACTGACTAAATACTTTTTTCCTCACTGTATACGGGGGAAACTATGCTGGGTGTTGTCATTCAAAGAAGCAGTGTTCCCAAATCCTGAAGAGGAATCTGAGAGCACACTTGATTCATTGTGTCATTTTTTTTCAACTAAAGGCTTGCAGTACTTTGAAGCAGTAGAAGAATGCTGCTGCAACTACTGTGTAGTCATAAACATTTATATAGCAAAAACTTGATGTTGAAAGTGATTAACTTATTTTAGGTCCACAGCCTTTAGAACAGATGTGCAGGGTGGGCACTCACCATCCCCCCCCCCCCCCCCCCCCCCCCCCGCCATACTGCTTTCCGTTGCCGTTAATTGGTTCCACGCATTCTGATTTTCTTCTGTGTACCTTGCCTCAGGCTGCTTTTGCTTGCATTCCTTCACCCAAGTGTGAGAATTGCTAATTAGCTGAAAACTGAACCATAAAGTGGTTAATCAGGAGATCAGTAGAATTGTTTTCCCAATGTAATGATTGGAAGCAATAACTTATTTCCCTAGTTCTTTACTTTTCTCCCTGGGATGGACAACTGACATCTGTGCTGTAGCAAGAAATGTCTGTTACTGATCTGGATTCAATACATCTTATCGGTCTAATAGGAGAGCCAATCTTGGTGGGTGCTTGGTCATTCTCAGCCTGGTTTCTTGCTTTTTGCACACAGCATTACAGGCAGTGCAGAAAGGACCAGGAAAAAGAAGGTATACTGATTGACAGTGCTTTTTCATCAGCTTGTCAATGAGTACAATGCACATACATGTCCATAGCAGTAGCTCAGTGACAGAGAAGTTGCTCAGCATATAGATCATCTTGACTTGGCATCTTCTGCTAAGGATGTGAGGTACCCTGGGCTGGGGAAGGTATAGCACAGAGCTGAATGAAGAGTGAGCAACTGCATCACATATGGGGGCCATGTTTAAGACCTAAAACCCTCCACGTGCAGGAGGGACAACAAAATAAACTTGGCAGCACCTGTAAGACTAATTAGTTTTTCATTTCACATGAGTTTTTGTTGATATAAACCAACTTCTTCAGATTTTTTTTTTTCGTGTCAGGAGCAACTAGAGAAACTGCAAGTTGCTTCTGGTGTGAGAGAGTTGGCCGTCTGCAAGGAGGTTGCCCAGAGGACACCCAGATGTTTTACCATCCTGTGAGACACTTCTCTCATATCCCCACATAGGAAGCTGGAGCTGACAGACAGGAGCTCACTCTGCTTCCCGAATTCAAACCACCAACCTTTCGGGCAGCACAAGGGTTTAACCCATTGCACCAATGCAGTACCAAAACTCAACCAAAAGCTTTACAAAATTAATTTCAAAGCTGCTGACACATTTCTCCCCCTCCCCTTTCCTTCTTAAGCTGCAAGAGACTCAGCTGCATGTCTGCCATCTCATATTTTTGCATCTTTACATCTGGAGGTGCAGCAGTTTACTTTCTAGGTGCAGCAATATACTCTCTTTTGGAACAGAAAAAGACTAATTTGAGGATTCTGGAGATTCAGAGGGTTGCACAAGGCTAGATAGACCAGTAATTCCAAGCATTTTTCAGCTATTGCTTCATTTGAGCAAACAACTACAGCAGAATGCATAGAACAGAATGCATAGAACCAGAGCCTGGAAATGTTATCTTTTTTGGACTATAATTCCTTGAACCTCCTGGAAAAGAATCTCTTTCATCCCTAGCATGAAAAAAATTGAGGAGGGATTCCCTGTGGCATTTTCCCTTAAGAAGCTGTCTCACTTCCAAAGCATTCTTCCCATCCTTGATTAGCCCAGCTCTTGTGCTTCGGCTGTTCCTCCCTCTCTTTCTCGCTCTCTTGTCTCTCCACTTTACTGGAAAATAAATTAGCAGACTAATTAGATGACTATCTTAAGCAGCCAGCAGTTGCTTCCTGCCACAACTCCAGCTGAATACAAGATGATCACAGCAGTTCAGAGTATCCACTTGGGATCCCGACTTGCCCTGGTTAATTCGACTGTTCCACCCAAGGCAGGTCCCTGGGCCACTTCCAACATCAATTTTGAGGGGGGGGGGGCTACACGTGGCTTTGTGATCAGATAAAACAGTGACAGAGTGACTGCAGTTGATATCTTCATTCCTGGGAAAAAGACAGAAAACTGTACATCTGYATCCTAAGATTTGTTTCAGGACCTCATCACACTAGAGAATGATTCTACTTTAAATCTGGTTTCTGCCTCCTGCAGAATTCTGGGGTTTGTAGTGCAGCGAGGCTGTTAAAGGCTCCTCCCTATACTACAAATCCCAGAATTCTACAGGAGTCAGAAACCGGATTTAAAGTGGATTCATTCTCTAGTGTGATGAGGTCCTCAGTTAAGCAATGCGTGGATGTTAGTAGTTAGGTGCCAGATGCTCTTGGGCTATTTATTCATTTATTTACTTCATTTATATACCATTTTTCCTTTAAGTCCCTTGGGGGGGGGGGGACTTAAAGCATTTTCCAACATATTCACAGCAAAATTCAATGCCTTGCAAAACATAAAAACTTAACATAAAACAACAGTAACATAAAACTATCAGTAACATAAAACACTAACATAAAAAACAGTAACATAAATCTATCAAATCATAAAACTTAACTATATTTAAACATTAAAACAAGGAATTAAAAACATATTAATATAAAAATTAAAATCACATGATCCAAAAGTATGGTCCAGGCCATTCCAGTATCAAATAGCAATGTTCGTTGCTTGTCCTGCTTACTGCTGAAATGCTTGGTTCTACAGCTATGTTTTTGCTTTGTTTCTGAAGTCCAATAGGGAGGGCGCTGATCTAATTTCATTGGGAAGGGAGTTCCATAGATGAGGGTCTACCACTGAGAAAGCCCTGTCTCTCATCCCCAATGAAATTAGATCAGCACCCTCCCTCTTAGCCTGCAGAAGGACCTGTGAAGGAGGTGGGACCGAGAACAGGGCCTCCCCGGTCAATCTTAGCCTCCAAGGTGGTTCATAGAGGGAGATACATTCGGACTACAATGCCTATCACTCGAGCCAGCATAGCCACTGGTGAGGACTCCTGAGGACAGCATTTGAGTGACTATACATTGCCATTTCCTGAATTGAAAGGGAGGTAATATCTTTCCCAGCTTGAGTTTCTGAAGCCCATGTCAGCAACCTATTTCACTAAAACACACACTTTGAGGAACAGATATAATGGACCAGGGCTTCCTTTTATCCATAGAGGAAACAGCCATTAGTTTTAAATGCCATGGCAACCTTCCCTTTCATACATCTTCCTGCTCCTGTGTTGGTAATTAGGTTCAGAGGTGGAGTGGTGTTTTTCAAGGGGCTGGATATTATTGTCCTGTGGACTCCGATTCATGATCTCTTGTCTAAATGAAACAATTTCTTCTTTTTTCTTAGGGCTGTTGGGCACCAACTAAGATATCCTATATGTTTTGTTCAAAAAGTTGTAGTGTTTGTAGCTGTAGTGGATTAAATGTAGGTGTGTGGTTTTAAAAGCATATAACTTTTTTAAAAAGTTTGGAGCATTTTGGAAGGTTATGTTTTCTGTAAGCTTCCAGTGTTGGCCACCAGCCAGCATGGACACCAGCCAACACTACCAATGCTGGTTGAGGAATTCAGGGAGTCTTGGTCCAAAAAAGGTAACTTTCTAAGCTCTCCTTGTAGTTACTTATTGAAACTGAATTACAGTTGGGCCTTATGCTTAATTATGTTTGAAAGAAGGGGAAAGTGAAGCATACCAGTCTCTTTTCATGAGGTGGTGCATTTGAGGAGCCTATCACTCTTAGTGGTCTTTTTGTTTGTTTCAGGTAGAAAACCTGGAGGACAAGCTGATGCAGTGCAGAGAAGACTTGGAAGAGGTGGATTTTAAGCTCCGGAGAGAAGAAATGACTCCTGAGAGAAGGTACTGCCTGGACCTCTGGGTCTCAAGTTGCTATTGCAAACTATGGAATGAATTGTTAATGCACATTTTCTGGACAACCCAGGACAGACTGAATATTTTTTCCCATTTAAAAGGCTTCCTCTAAAAGGAGGCAATTTTGAATATGAAATCAGTATAGGACTAAATTATGCTCTTTGTTGTTTTTCCTGCCTCCCATACCTGTCGATTGTGAATGCATTTTGAGCCCTATTATGCCTTTTGTGTTTCTTTAACCGTTTCTCTAAGTATTCACTTTTCAGACTGTCTCTTTGCTACTTCACTGTTTTCGTCCTTTTAATATTTGAAGAATGCTTAATGCTTGCACACCTCAAAAATAATTTCCCTCTGCTTTGTAACTGCTTGGGGAAGTAGTTTAAATTTTGCTGGCCACCTGTTGCCTAGGAGTGCCAAGTTTTGCAATAGGATTTATCTGCTAATAAATCAGCATGGTGGCAGTGTAGTGTGCATACGTTTAGTATTCCAAACAACAACAAACTAAAGACCAACATATGTGCTCCAAGATTTTATAAAATAAGACTGAATGTGTCTCTACACATATGCCATTTTCAGTTCCTGTGACTAAAGTTAATCTATATATATTGTCGAAGGCTTTCATGACCGGAATCACTTGGTTGTTGTAGGTTTTTTCGGGCTATATGGCCATGTTCTAGAGGCATTCTCTCCTGATGTTTCGCCTGCATCTATGGCAAGCATCCTCTGAGGATGCTTGCCATAGATGCAGGCGAAACGTCAGGAGAGAATGCCACTAGAACATGGCCATATAGCCCGAAAAAACCTACAACAACCCAATCTATATATATTTCATATTTTGAGTTTTTAAATCATTCCATATAAAATCTTGTTGCGTATTTTCTGGACCTTTCTATTTTATGGTAGATTTGCCCCCTTCCAATTGAAATGAATATATTTAGACTCCAAATCTACAGTTTTATTATTTATTTCTGGAGATTCAGAGGGTTGCATTTATATGCCGCTTTTCTCACTTCTGAGGGGACTCAAAGCAGTTTGCAGCATAATAATGGCAAAATTCAATGCCGTACATACACAGGGAGCTCTGGCGAGGGGTGGTCCAGGAGGTCATGAAGAGTCGGAAGCGACTGAATGAACAAACAACAAAAACATACATGTAAAACCAAAGCATAATATCTAGACAATAACATATAACTATAAATTAAAAACATTAACCACATTAAAACATAAAGCATAAACAACATTTAGACATTAAACAGAGAAATAAAATACCTTAGTATAAACATTAAAATTACATAGTCCAAAATCATAATCCAATGCCATTCCAGTTGTCAATTGTACATAGTCCCTAATTCAATTTTTGCATTGCTCACTGACCAAAGACTTGGTCCCATAGCCATGGGTTGCTGATCTAATTTCACCGGGGAGGGAGTTCAATAGACGAGGGGCCACCACTGAGAAGGCCCTGTCTCTCGTCCCTGCCAATCGTGCCTGTGAAAGAGGCAGGACCAAGAGCAGGGCCTTCCCAGAAGATCTTAAACTCCGCAATGGTTCATATTGGGAGATGCATTCAGACATCTAATTTGGATCTGAACCATTTAGGGCTTTATAGGCTAAAGCCAGCACTTTGAATTGTGCTCGGTAGCAGACTGGCAGCTAGTGGAGCTGACGTAACAGGGGGATAATATCTTTCCCAGGGAGGTAATATCTTTCCCAGTACGCTGCCCTAGTGAGAAATCTGGTTGCCACCTGTTGGACCACTTGAAGCTTCCGGACAGTCTTCAAAGTCAACCCCACGTAGAGAGCATTGCAATAGTCTGTTCGGGATGTAACAAGAGCACGGACCAGAGTTGATTGTAATCACAGCTTGGAAAAGTTAGGAGCAGGCGTGGAGCAAGAACTTCAAATTGGTCTTCCTGGCTGTAAAATTCATGATCAAAAATACTTTTTCTGTCACTGAATACAATAAGGATGTAGCATGCTAAAGACTATAGGTCTTGAAGTCATAGACGTGAAAAGGTCTTGCAGTCCATTTCAATCCCCTCATTAATGGAGGAAATGTAGAGATAGAGCACCCCAAACTGGCACAAACCAAATTAAAGTATTTGGATCCATGGAGCAGTTTCAAAAGTATAGTTCCCTTTTTGCACATGCTTCAGATCCCTGGGAAAAGCAGTTTGTATATGCCTCCTACATGGATCCTAACTGGTTTTAAAAGGAGATGATGATGATGATGATCCTAACAACAACAATAACAACAACAACACTTTATTTATATTCTGCCCTTCTCACCCCAAAGTGGACTCAGGGCAGATCACAGTACACATACACGGCAAACATTCAATGCCGCTTTTGTATAGACAATAAACAGACAGACAGAACAGTAGGAGGTGTGCCGTTTCGACTCAGTCCAGCTGTTTTGGTGCCATGGGCTCGAGTCCAGCCACAGGGGAGGTTGTTGCTTCATCCTCTATGACAAAGAGCCGTCAGGACTTCCTCCTCCCTTTTGGCCTCCAGCATTTTCTGATCTTCTTTCTTTATGGCATCGTAAAATACCTTCCCCACTTTTTTTAGTGGTACCTTATTTATCTAATTACAGTTAAAGCTGTTTTTGAACTGCTTAGGTAAACAATGAGCAGGACTGACAGTTGGCAGCTCACATCGACCCGGGGCTTCAAACTTGCAACCTTTTGGTTGATACATCTTATAATTGCTGGTGATTTGCTGTGCTAAACCTCCAGCTCTGGATATTGTTTAAAAGTAACAACACCAGTGAAGTACTTATCCTTCCTTCTCTTTACAGCTGGAAAATGGGGGCAAGGTGAGTTGTAACCCATGGGAATAGTGGGAGCAGGAAATAGCTTCACTCCTCATCTCCATAGCAGTTCTCTCTTTACAGCAACACAGTACAAGAAACATATATGTCTTCCAGCTGCAGCATTTGCGGGGTGTCCTGGAGCAATTTTTACAGTTGTGACATTGACAACCACTAGCTCCTGAGCCTCTACTTGAAGACCTCCAACAAAGGAGGGTCTGTCCAGCTTTGGGTATCTGATGACATTGTCAAACTGCACTTACCTTTGATACGTTCCTCGTAATGTTCAACTGAAATCTGTTCTCCTGTCACTTAACCCAGTGGTTCTCAACCTGTGGGTTCCCAGATGCTTTAGCCTTCAACTCCCAGAAATCCTAACAGCTAGTAAACTGCCTGAGATTTCTGGAAGTTGTAAGCCAAAACATCTAGAGACCCACAGGTTGAGAACCACTGACTTAAGTCCATTTGTGCTTCCCCTCTCTTCTGTGTCAAATGAGCCTTCCGTGTTATACCTATTCAGATGTTTGAAGAACATTGTCATGTTTTCTCTCCTCCACTATTTTGTGCCTTTCCACTGCCCGTTTTTACTTTTTTGGGAAACATCCAATGGAATAGCTGCTCCTGTGGCAGGGGCAGAATCTAAATCAACATTATTCAAAACACTTGTATAGAGTTAGACCTGGCTAGGAAAGTCTAGGAGGTGCAATTAAAAAAAAAGGCATTATTTTCTGAGCTCTGATTAATACTAGATCCATAGCAAATTTGGAGTTGTAAGATGTAGACCTAAGACAGCGTTTTCTACATTCCTCATTACTTCTCCATCTTTGTTGCCCTCTTCTGAACTCACTGCTTGTCTGCTTCCTTCTTGAAGTGCGCTGTCCAATTCTGGATACCTTATTCCAGATAAGTTTGGTCTAGTTCAGGACAAAGTGGAACCATTACCTCTCATAGCCAGGTTTCTGAGTCACGTTGCAGTGAAACAGAAGACAAAGCAAAATTGTGATCTTTTAAGTCTTCCGGTCAGCTCTCATTTTTCAGGTGGGGCTCTGCATACTCTGCATGTTCTTGTAGGTGTTTGACTTTTGCACTTTTTGTAGCTTTGCTAAATATGAGGAGCAGCAAAGGGCTGTCTAGAGTACTGAAAATCTACTTGCCGGTCACTGAGGAGAAACAGCAGGAACATTAGATGAGAGAACTTACATTTTATCTTGCGTCCTTTCATAACCCTTCCCCATCTACTTTCACACAAAGGAAAGGCAGCATTCAGGAGAAGGATTAAAGAGTACCTGCTACTACTTTGTTGCAAATTCTCTCTTGCTTTGCACTTGTTTGATGAAGACCCAGTTCTGCTGGTAGAGGTATCATTCTGACTTTACATATTTTGCAGAATTTATTAAGCACTTCCCTACGTATTTTAAAGTCTGGATTTGTTATCATAAGGACTAGAATAATGATTTTTTTTAAAAAAAATAAAGTTTAGCAAAGATTCACAGGAAAGTGCTTCATAAATATTAAGGCCTAAATCTGATGGCTTAATCCCAGTTAGAAGAAACCTACTGAATCAGTGGGATTACTTGTGGATTTACTATTGAAAAATGAAAAATGTATTCCTTCAGATATTACCGTAATTGGAACTAGCGATTACTAGTTAGGCTTGTATCTTTTTTCCAGTTGTAAATCTCCTTATGAGTTTCCTCCTTACTGTTTAAGCTTCTTAATGATATGTCAAAACAATGTCAAAACACCGTAACTGCCCGTTTTTACTTTTTTTGGAAGCATAGGCATAACCAATGGAATAGCTGTTCCTATGTCAGGAGCAAGATCTAGATCAGCATCATTCAAAACACATGTATAGATTTAGACCTGGCTAGGAAAATTTAGGAGGTGCAATTAAAAAAGGGGGCATTATTTTCCGAGCTTTGATTAATACTGGATCCATAGTAAATTTAGAGTTGTAAGATGTAGACCTAAGACAACGTTTCTCAATCAGGGGTTCGGGACTCCTGGGGGGGGGGGGTTGTGAAGGGATTCAGAGGGCTTGTCAAAGACCATCAGAAAACACAGTATTTTCTGTTGGTCATGGGGTCCTATGTGGGAAGCTTGGCCCAATTCTATCGTGGGTGGAATTCAGAATGCTCTTTGACTGTAGGCGAACTATAAATCCCAGCAACTGCAA